TAAACAAACCCATAACGTGTCAAACCTACGCGATTCAATTTTAGTCAGTTTTAGAGAAACTCATTTTTTGGCATTTTGTAATTCATCTGATACTAAACAAAGCACAACATTTTTGCACAACTCTGGAAAGTCCTAACGTGTTTATCGTCAGTTCTATTCTTATACTTTTCTGAGCAAACAGTGGGTATTAATCAGATGTATTTACACATGTGAGTTTTTTGATAATATGATGGATTAACTTAATACGGCTTGTTGTACAGAGTTTGCAGTTGATCATGATTAAAAACACGGAAAGGAAACCTATTCAGTTTAACTTTTTATGCATAAATGCATAGAATACCTGTGCTCTTTGCTTCGTTGATACTTTGTATGCGGGCTTCTTGACCGGCAACTGTTTTAATGATGGTGGTATGACATCTGTCTGTTCATAGTAAAGGCGCCAAACAATTCAGAGCCAGAAGACGTAGGGTCTTTCTGTGATTTTCAAAGAATAGGTTGAGATGAAATCAGATTTGGCAAGCAAATTTCTCATCTATTTGAGCACATCATTTGATTGCCCCAACTTCTAATTGGGTTCCAGTAAACGGGATTAAATTAATATATAATCTAGGTAACGCCGCCATTAGTTCTTAAAGGATTAAGTTCATCGCAATGAAAGAAAAGTCGGTAACGAAGATTCTAAACAGAGAAATTAAACGGATTAAGTCAGTACAATAATACAATTAGTCTATGGACATTCTTTCCTTGCCCTACTGGTAGTTACTGTGCTGGCAACGTTGTCCGTTTCTATGTCTGTGCAGCATCCGTGCAGCGAGTTATTGTTCATTTCGTGGTTTCTGCACGGCAACATTTCCCTATCATTCTTGTACAGACATACATGATGTGTGAAATAAGGCTAATAGGTGCATATAATTACCGGATTTGAGGCCGTTTAAATACGCTAAGATCAAACAATGTTCATCGACAAAAAAACGAAGTTTGTGTGATTTTAATGTTCTTCGGTTTTGTCTTTTTTCTCCGCCCCTACTGGATCGATTTTCAAAAACTACAGAGCTTTTTGGTCCTTCACATAGTAACAACCTTGTATGAAAATGTTCTCAAAATCTTCAAGTTACAGACGGGCCAATGATTAGCGGACAAACAAACCGACGGACAGACAGGTCGACAGACCGACACACTGACTGACCGACAGAAATGAGTGACATAGTTTTTTGTGATGTACGTGTCATATAACATCAAAAAAAACACAATACCTCGTTTTCGAAATTTCATTTCTTCCTCTCCCAGTGACGTAGGGAGTAAAAACAAAAAGTAATTTCCTTTAATGAAGCTATATATACGAGCCCCTTCCCACTTTAGTTGGCACACTTCAAGATTTGTACCAAAGTATGTCTTTAGAAACTAAACATGACGAAACTATTTACTTCTAAAACAATTTATTTTCTCAAAAACATTTTAGATGCACTGTAGTCTTAAAAAATACATATTTGAAATCACTTAGACCTATAACTAATAGAACATCTGAACAAATAAACAATGTGCGAATAAATGCGCGAAGTTAACAAAGCAACAATTGAAAGATTACCATTGGGTAACATCACCTTTATTTTTTATTACGGCTGAAATTCTTTGAGGCATAGTGTTAACCAAGTCTTGGCAAAAATTTGGTGTAAAACAATCCCATATTTCTTGAAGCTTTTGTCTCAGTTCGGTCATTGTACGAGCAGGACGTCGTAGAACCTTTTTCATCTCGTGCCACAAAGTTTCAATAGGTGACAGATCTGGACTGCTAGAAACCCATTTCAAAAGTGGTACATTATTTTCTTCCATCCATTTTATAGCCTTTTTTGAGGTATGGCACGCTGCACCATCTTGCTGAAACACAAAATCTTGGCCGGATGTCAAACATTCTTCCATCACTGGTAAAAGCGATTCTTCTAAAATTGCCAAATATTTGTTTGTATCCACATTTCCAGCAATAAAATGAAGTTTCCCTACTCCTTTTGATGACATACTGCCCCAGACCATAATGGATGCTGGAAATTTCACTTTTCTCTTCAGACAGTCAACATGGAATGCTTCATTTTTTTTTGCGAATAACTCTACTGCGACTGTCACCAACACAAACTTCGAATCGGGCCTCATCACTCCATTGTATTGCACACCATTGTTGAGGTGTCCATTGTCTATGTTCTTTAGCCCATCTAAGCCGATTTTTCTTTTGCAGTGGAGTTAATAGTGGCTTTTCTTTGGCCTATGAACAAGTTGTGCAACTTTAGGGTTTTTACTTCACTTTTTTTTATAAGAAAACTTACCTTGCAAGTGCTAAATCCCAGTTTGTGGGCCTCTCTATGAGTTGTGGACCTCGAAATTCTCCTTCCAACAGCGTCACTCCACAAAGCACTTAATTGTAAATAATTGGCACGCCTGTTTTTCACGATTATTCTTCTTAATGCTCTTCGGTCGGCATTTGTGATATTACTTTTTTTCACATATCGTGGCTCCATATTAACTGAACCAGTTACGATATATCTTCTAACAATATTTCTCACACTGGACCGCGATAAGTCTAACAAAGTTGCAATTTCTGAGTTTGATTTCCCAGAATTAAAAAATTTAATTATCAGTAACCAAATTTTCTCACTAATAACCTCTCCTCTACCCATTTTGAAAACCCGTATTCTGACAGCTGTGATTAATAAAAACAATTGTCATGGCTTTTAATTTTCACAGCCACCTATGCGTTATAGACTTATTCTGCATTGAAATAAAAATAGGTTGATATGCTGTAATTGCAACATGTGTTATTTTTATGCTTCAAATTTGATTAGGGAGTGATAAAGTTGGTGTTTTCTACTATATATTACCAAAATATTCATTGTTAATATTTTAAACCTATAACACCCTGCTACATTTTTATTATTTGTGTTTGATAAAAAAAAACTAAGATTTCAATAGTTGGGCCAACTGAAGTGGGAAGGGGCTCGTATATATATACATATATACAGGGTGACTTTGAAGTTGAGTCATTAATTTTCAGATAATGATTGTAGAAGGAAGATAAACCAAAATATGTGTGTAAAAATAAAAAAAAATTAAAAAAAATGTTTACCTTGTTTTATAAAGTATCCTCCCGACAAGTATTTCAGTGCGGACCTGTATTTGATCGTGAGGTCCCCTGTGAGGTCTTAAGTCACCTGATTCACGAGCCCGTTGTACTACATTAACAAAGGCACGAGGGGTTGGTTGCACTCGATTGGGAAACCGATCCGCATAAACATGTGCCATTTTTTATTTCGTTTGAGCCACGCAACAGACACTATTCACACGCCTTACCGACTGACAGTGACTGTATGTATAACTGAACTGAATAAAATAAATGTAAAACATCGTTCCAAATTCTTTCGCTTTTTTGTTTCCGATGCGATGAACCGAGGCGGATTATATCCGTTGTTGATAAACACGAGTACATGATATTATTATTGAGACAGGGCGGTACTCAAACTTCCAAAGGGCTATAACTTTGTTACTTTAATTTTACCAGAAAAATGGTAAAGGAAAAAAACATTTCTTTTGATCAGATCTACTCACTGTTAAAATAAATGACTCAACTTCGAAGTCACCCTGTATAGTCAAATACCAGAATTGATGACAGTAGCAGAGGGTCATCGTGCGCCACTGCTTTGACGCTGTACCTTTTGATTAAAGCGACGTTTTCCGACATTTCACAAAGAAGCGCCGCATTTTCGAAGGCCTCCACGTAATAGCAGTGGCGTACGATGAGTTTCGCTGCTGTCATCAATTTTGGTATTTTACTATAGAAAGAACTTATTGAGAGAATATATTTAGCGATCCTAAATAGAGAAAATAATTTGTTGAATGATTTACCACGTTACTACAGTTCGAATTTAATCAAAATTGATGCGGCCATTACTGAGATTGTATGGTAACAAGGAACAAAAGTGTCAACATATAGACTGAAAAATAAACGCAAAATAATTTGTAATAAAGTTTTTCGTGATGCCAACAGAACAAGGCATTCAACAAATTCGAATATCTTTACGGTCACAGCACCGGAAATCAAAAATCACGCCTTAAAAGTCAGGTATATTGAAGGCAATTTTTATGTGTATCATTTTCTTCTTAAGTCCATGTAATACGACCTATGAACATTGTATTGGCATTAGTCGAAACTGCGACTGAATTTCGAAGACATGATTCAATAAATATTCCTGTTGAGATTACTATATCTGGAATAATCAGGTTTATAAATAAAATGGATTATACTCGTATTCTGGTTTATTAATTATTCATCAGCGTTGAATAGATGATTATATGATGATTAAAAACATGTCACTCATTATTAGCAGAAAGGTATAGAACGTATTTTGCTGAAGACTTGGTAAAACTCATATACAAAAATTTTGTACAATCCGCATTTAAAAAACGTCCAAGAATAAATCCTAGAAATGTATTCCTATTTTTATAAGACATATATTATGTAGTTGAATGATGCCTTTCCAGTGCAAGTCTATGTTTAATCCCTGCAAAATTTCTACTGAAAATGATTAGGAGCCCCTGAAGTATCAAAAAACGAAGTTTAAGCGATTTTTATATTTTACGTCTTACGCCCTTAGCCCTGCACCCCCACCACTGGACCGATTTTCCAAAACTGCAACGCTTTTCATTTTTGGCAGTGTAGTAATCTTCTGTGGAAATTTTATCGAAACTCGAGCAACACAAGTTATAGACAGGCCAATGGTTACCGTCAGGCCGACACGACATACAGAGACAGAGCTTTTCCTCTTTAGTAGTATCGCTGTGTGGAAATTTTATTAAAATACAAGTGATACATCTCAAGTTGCTGACAGGCCAAGGATCAGCGGATAGACAGACGGACAAGAGTAATATGTCATCCAAAAATATATCTCATTCTTGCGGCTACAATACTTACTCGTCAGTGGCGTGGGAAGTAAAATAGATAGTATCAAAATACTTACCTTCATAGTGATTAGGCATCCGCTGAGTGCCAGTATATTGCACAGCATCTGGTATGAGTCCATTTGCAAGACCAGAGCATGTGTCAGTTGTCCAACTATCAGTTCAGTCAAGAAGAATGCCGTGCTGAGCCCGAGGATAATATACAGCTGTATAGGTCGCATCTGTTTGAACCACTCCTTCATCGCCATCTTAAAATAGTTTTGTCACACCTGTAACAAAAATATTTATTGAAGTTGATCCATTTGGTCACTATGAAGTGCGATTTAAATCCACCCTGATCCAGTGTTGTCTCGTGTTTTGTAGACGAGTCACTTTTAATCGACTAATAAGTAAGAGGGTGGATTCCATACTTTTGAGACAATACTCTCTGTGACGTCTCTAGCCACAGGACATCTTGGACTAGAGTAAAAAGCTACCACCCACTACCTAATAGCCAGACCCTATGTTTTTCAAAAATGATCTTGCGCCTAAAGAACTTCGAAAAACACGGTTCGGGCGATTTTTTCGCATTCATACCTTCGGCGCCCTGAACGAATTTTCAAAAACTACCGTCAAAATTTGACCAACTTCCGAATCGTACTCCATGACTTCACCCCAATATTCGGTGAGATTCATTTGGATTATGACGTATCGGGGTCTACAAGGAGATTTTTCGGCCCTGAAAATAACTCAAATTACGAGTATTTATCAGATAATCACATCCATGTATAATTCTTGCAGTTAAATATTTCAGAGCAGCATTTTACTTTCTAATTTAGGGCCGTATATCATCAGTCGTTCCTACCTTTATGACCTCCTTGATTTTCATAGTTTTTACTGTTCCGTGTCAGCGCTCTATTTTGTTTATTATCTTACAAATAACTCTTTTCATCAAATTGTTCATGCTTTTGATTTATATGATCTATTATATGAGCCTGAAATTTTCTACAATTTAAAAAAGAAAACAGCCTCACGATAGGGGAGCGCTGACGCTGACACCGAACAGTAGAAATCTAGAAATACCATAGCCTTTCTGCAGGAGAGAAAAGACTATGAAAATCACGGAGGGACTTGTTTGTTTTTTAAATATCCAAATTTCACCCATTGTCAAATTGTCGAATATTTAGTTATAGCTACTTTTATATGAGCGCATTATCGCGAAACTCTTCTTCAAATCTATAATAAAATACACTCAAACACAATACATATTTTACAAATGAAAGTGTTACCGCGTCAGTGCTCTCATAATAAAAACAAATTGTGTATGAATTTGTTTCAACTATTGTTTTTATTGTGAGCGCAGTGATGCAACACTTTCATTTTTATTAGAAAGTTCTAAGCTAGTAATTGGGTGAATTTTTGACAAAATGTCAAAATTGCTTTTAAAGGATAATCAAGTCCTAAATGAAAAGAAAAATGATAAAAGTTTAAAGGACATATGTTCTGAACTATTTAAATGCAAACATTTCGTAGATACGATCGACTTAAAACCCGAGTTATTTTCAGGGCCCGAAAAACCGCTTGTGGAACCTTTTAGATAAAATTGCTAATATGACAAGAAACCTGTGTTTTGCAAAATCAGTCCAGTAGCGGCATAGTTATGGGCAAAACAGCATGGAACAAATAAGCTCATTTATGACGTTTCAGAGGATCCTGATCATTTTCGGATCTTTTAGAGGGTTGAAGAGGGTGAGGGTCTTGCATCTTCATTGAAAGAGGTCAACTTATATCGTACGTGCTTGTTAGCTGTTAGCAGACTCATTTATAATCGTTTGTAACTTCAACTTTGTCGTTACATCTACAAACATTGAAAAGATTAGACTTAATTTGAGGGTCTTGAATAGAATTAATACACCCATTTATTATACAATTTTTGTATAAGAGGGGCTAAATGTTTGCTGCTTTCATTTTACTAGCTACCAGTACAAGGCATTATTCCACATTAAATACAGACTGTTAAAAAGGTTGTGGCAAGTAGGTTGACTCATGTCTCACATGCAACTGCTGTGATGTTGGTCCCTTCGACGTTGGTTTTGGAAATACAAAATACTCCAAATTTCATAAACCGAACATACTCTCTATGAACTGATCAACTGATGATAGCATTGTGCGAAACAGAGCCAACCTATTCTTATCTTTACCTGTTGCCAGGGCAGCAATTTACCGGCAAAGCAACATAAATGTTTGTGATACATACAACTTGGAATATCCGATACCCACATGATTTTGTATAACGCAATAAAATTCGAAAATCTCTATAATGACAATACTTCTCTGGTACTTGCTTACGAAACAAAATTGTGGTGACATGAACAAACAAGACATAGTTGAATGCTGTCTCGACGCCAGTCTGTCTTGTCTACAACTTGAGGTCTAGGTCGGCGTTTATGCATCGCGACTTTTAATTAATTCTTGGTGTATGACGGTAAGCAATGTGTGCATGTACACAAATATATTATCATAAAATATCGCCAATGCCAAGAAAATTTATTAGGAATTGTCACTCCATCGATTTTCTAATTTGTAATTTTCTTTACAAAAATGGCAGCGAGAAGGTTTATTTAATATCTTTACATTCAGTCTATGGGTCTTGACTATTGACCATTAGCCGGGTGGTTCTAGGTATGGGGCATGTGACCTTATAAGGACATATAAATCGTTCCATCTTCTGTTCGTTATTGTCGGTCAGAGCGGTCCGTAGGGTCTTTGATCTTCGTAATATTGTTAGTCAGTGGGTCTGTCAGGTCTGGTTGCCCAGATGCCATACAAAGTCAGAGAGAACGAAGTGAAGAAGAAAGAAGGGAAGAAAGGGGGTAGAGCAAAGAGGTGTGGAAGTGTGTCAGTTTGGCGTCTTGGCATTGTTTATTGGTATTCGGTGATTTAAGTTTATCCTAAAATTAATTTAGAGATTGGGTAGCATTGGTGTAGAAAAAAATGTAATTTTGGTCACACCTAAAGTCGAACGATTCAATTTTGTTCACAGGGCGAGCCGCGGTCTTGTGTACTTGCAAACTTGCTCGACTGTGTAGTCTACTGACTCGTGCAACAGAATGTTGATATGCGATTCCGCTTGACTATAACGTCGCTGCGCCTGTTGGTTGATGTATGTATGTCAAGGTCTCTGTGATGGGTCTCATTGGAAATCGTGTACTTCGTTCAAAAATTATACGACGATCACGGAATCATACGTTTAAATCTAGAAACACATTCTAAACAAAAATTAACAATATGTCGAGCAAATAGTTACATTGATCGTAGATAGTATGTATTTGTACAGGTTGTGACCATCTTGTGATTCTAAGTCGTAATGTAGATGTAGGAGTATGGATTAAATCGAACGAGAAAAACTCATCAATAAAACCTAAACCAACAAGATGGCCATGATAATTTTAACTTTTGGTAAAGCGTTTTGTTAAACTTTCGATTATACGTCTGTAGGTTCTAGGTAAATTTCAGTTAATTCTAACAAGATCGACTGAAGGGTTTTGTTTTGAAACGAAGCATTACCATGACTTTGCTTAGACTATGAACCATTTTCTTAAAATTAGTCAAGTAATCACCCCTTGGAGTTTGTCAAGATATTTTGTTAACACACTGTATATACCGTATTCCTGTAGGTATATATAATAAAATTCACAGTTACTGCTTTCTTTCTAGTGTTATATACAGGGTGGGGCATAACTGTCTCCCTATTTTCAAAGCTTAATAAAACAAATGTTATTTGGAATACTTTGGATTTATTTTGAAATCTTAAAAGTGCAACTCAAACAGTTTTATTTTATGTGGTTTTGAAAATAATATCAGCAAGGTGCTTTCCACCATTATCACAGCATTGCCGCAAGCGCTTTCTGAAGTTTTGCATAACTCTAACTAACATTGCTTGCGGTATTCGGCCAATTTCCAGACGGATTGCCTCCTTCAGCTGTGGTAAGGTCCTTGGACGATGTTGAAAGACTTGAGCCTTAAGATAGCCCCACAGAAAGAAATCGCAAGGCGACAAATCCGGGGAGCGCGCAGGCCAAGGAATATCGCCTCTAAGGGAGATCAAGCGTCCGGGGAACAGTTCTCTCAAAATGCCTAATGATGCTCGGGATGTGTGGGCTGTCGCCCCATCCTGCTGAAACCAGGCATTCGGCACATTCAATTCTGCAAGAGCTGGGACAAAAAAATTCTGAATCATCGCTACGTAGCGTTCCGAGTTGACGGTGACAGCCCGATTACCTTCTTCAAAAAAGTAAGGCCCAACTATCCCAGTTTCTGATACGGCGCACCAAACTGTGACTTTCTCACTATGCAGAGGCTTTTCGTGTATCTCTCTTGGGTTTTCGGCACACCAGAACCGAAAATCCCCGGACGCTTGATCTCCCTTAGAGGCGATATTCCTTGGCCTGCGCGCTCCCCCGAACTTCAGAAAGCGCTTGCGGCAATGCTGTGATAATGGTGGAAAGCACCTTGCCGATATTATTTTCAAAACCACATAAAATAAAACTGTTTGAGTTGCACTTTTAAGATTTCAAAATAAATCCATAGTATTCCAAATAACATTTGTTTTATTAAGCTTTGAAAATAGGGAGACAGTTATGCCCCACCCTGTATTATTACAATGTAACATAATGCTACATAATATGTAGTGCATTACAATACATACTGAATTTGTTGCTTATGTTTATTTACAGTTGCAATTTCGTCGAATAAATATTAGCATCAATAGTAGTTTACGCTAATAAATCCTTTTGTCCACAAGTTCGATCGTCTTTCCCAAGCATGTAATTTATTTGGAATGCTAAACTTTGCCAAGCACTCAGTTTGTTTCTAAATAAAGACGTCTATTATTGTTACATTATTAAATGTGTCGAAGTGGTAAATAAAACAATTACCCCTTTGCTTACCTTAAATATCTTACCGTATCATAAACTGCGCTGGATGTAAAAGCTTTTTTTATAAATTCAACCTTTGTAAGACATTTATTTTTGACAGAATCACTCCAAAAGGCATGATGGCCCAATCTGTGGCATAGTCTTGTGGTTTAGTTATCCCTTGCCATCCAAACCAGAGAAGCGCGCGCTCTTTGAGTTGTCCGGCATGCGTACATCGAAGATATATATTTATAATTCAACTTTTAAGGGCAAATGTACGGAGAGATCTTTAATTTATCAAGAATGTCTAATATGTGCGTACAATTACCTGGGTTGGAAACATATAAATTGACATATACTCTCTCCCAAGCCCT